TATACAAATAATTCCTATGTAGTGGGAATCATAAGACCTGTATTCTATTTTTGATGCAACTGTGATCTCTAGAAGAGAGGTTAGTATGCATACGAAGGTGCGCTCACAGGGAAATAGTTATCTCCAGGAATTAGCTGGCCCTTGAAGGGGTATTCACTGAGAATACAGAACGTGAGAAAATATAGTTAGTACAGGTCCTTAATAGTTTTTAAGAGTGTAAAGAGTGTAGAGGTTTTTCAGAGACCAAAAAGCTTGAGAACTTCTGGGCTAGGTTACGTAAATAACAAAGCAGCCCCAAATCTCAATATCTTAACAGTTCAATAAGGTCTTTTTCTTATTCATGCAAAGTCTTCATGCTTCTGAAAGGCAGCATACAGAGGATATCTGAACATTTCTTAAAGGCTGTATTGTAATAGAAGAAAAGAAAATGGTTTAAATTTAATTCATTTAATGAGAAACTCCCCATGTTATCCTTATTTTTCTCATATTTTAAAGAAGTAGTGAAATTTTGTCACTTCTTAGGAAGAGTCCAGGACTGGCGCTTGGCAATTTCTGATGTCTCGGACAATTATGGATGGAAACGATGTGAAGGGAAGGGAAGATCTTACTTTGCCTATATGCTCAAAGAACCCAGCAGAGTGGTGGTGACGGTGGGGTTGAAGATATTGGAAAGAGACACTCAACGGATATCCTGGAGGCGGTGAAAGGGCAAGGGAGGGAATGGTCTGAAACAGGGGGATGTACAGACAGACATCTCTTCCTCTGAAACTGGTTGGAAAGGAAGATGAGAGGGTGCCCATGAAGATAAGTTACCTGGGAGAAGGAGAGGAGCTGAGAGAGTCCATCTTTGGTGACACTGATTCTCTCTATATGAATCACAGGCAAGTTTGTTGCTAAAAGTGAGTTAGGTGGGGACTGATGAAAGTTTCGGAGGTCCTTTGCAGGAATTGGGGAAGGGAGTGGACCGACAACCAACAGGTGATGGAGCAGAACCGAAGGCCCAATTTAAACCTTAAATAGTAAGCACAAAACACACGGTAGCCTAACTTTTCTAAATATGCTTCTTAACCTGGCATTTAACAGAGGGAGGGTTGGGGTGAGGGTAGGATGTTTATTGAAAGACTGTGTGTAGGATGGTTAAGAGAAGGGCCTTTCAAGCCAGCTGGCCTGGGTTAGATTCCTGACTCTGTCACTTGCTATACTTTCCTATTCAGTAAAATGGGACCAATTATAGTTTGTGGTGTTGTTTTAATGTGGGTAATAAAGGTTTTGTGGAGTTATTTGAGGAATATATTAAGTGACGAATATATGCTACGCATTTTCTTTCCACACCCCCTCTGCTGGGGGTTGAGGGCCCCACCTTGGTTTTGTGGTTTCATGCTTTGGTAGGTGTTGAACTTGAAAAGGGACAAGCCCAGCTTCTCTGCACTCCTCCTCATTTCCTTTGAGGGCATGCCCTGCTCAGCATCCTCTTCTGTGGCCCTCCTGATCCTCGCTGGTGGTGGTGGGTAAATAAGGGGCAGGTACACCTGGCTCTCTCCTATTATCTTTCCAGACTATATTTTGGCATAATCTCTAAGTCCTACTTTTCTCAGGCCTTTAGGTTTGAGTCTCAGTTACCTATTTTAGAAGTAAACTGCATACTTCTTCAATTTACATTTTTACTCTAATAATTGTAGTCTATCCATTCATCTGCTTGTCCTTTAGTCAGATACCTCTGGGTCACAGGGAAAGGTCATAGATGTGGAAGATGTGAAAGATAAAAATATATTTTAAAAAGTCTCATTTCACCCATTACCTCTTAATTCTCCTATGAGTAGATGCTTGCAGCAACCTAACTACCCAAGCCTGGTGCTCAGAGGGTCTCATTCAGTTCTGTGCCTGTGCTCCTCCCCCTCAGCATGGCCTCAGAGGGCTGCACTGGTCTCTGGGGGGTGGGGGTTGGTGCTGAGGGTTGGTCGCCCTGGAGGACTAGGCCAGGAGGGAGTTGTGGGTGTTGATGAGAGAGTAGCTGCTTACTGTTAACAGCACAGGCAAGAATAGGGGCTCTGTGTAGAGAGAAGTGGGGGCTGATGAGCAGGAGAGAAGGAAGAAGTGAAGAAGCTGGGAGTCCCAATGGACTTGAGGAGCAAGAGGGAGAGGGGCAGAAGAGCTGACTTCTGACATAGAGTGGGACGTAAAGCTGATGGTTTCAAGGGGGTTTAATTCCAGATGATGACAAGGCCTGGGGTGTAGTCACTGGACTAAGTTAAAGAGGAGGTGAACACCTTTGGCGTGGAGGACACAGACTGTGAGTTTCAGTAGTTTGAGTGAATGTTGAAATGAACAGATCTGGTGTCAGAATCCTTTATAAATATTGAGAGTGGTCTTGGAGTTGGTGAAGAGCGGGCAGGGGCTGGGTTAGCAGAGGCCCTGAGCTGGTGCAAGGTTGGAGCCTCCGAGGGAGAGGAGGGCTGTGGAGGGGGAAGCACATGGCATGACTTCGTATGGTCCTCCCAGGAATCCGGTGAGATGTACACAGGAAGGGAAATCGATTTTCGCCAAGAAAACCATTGTTTGTCGCCAGCATTAGGACTCAGGTCAAGTTTCCTTGCTGTGTTTGCTGTGAGGGCCTTGCTCTTCTGTGTACTACTCACAGAAGATTAACCTCTTAGAAAGAAAACTTATAGGCTCTACACAGAAAAGGAAGAGCATTTCTCTCAGTTTTCTTTATCCCAGACTGTGCTAAAAATCTTCAGGCTGCACATGATGGAGAAGAGCTGATAGGCTGTCAGGAACTGGTCCAGGAGAGGTTCTTATGATGCCACCTAGTGTCCATAACTGGACTTACCCACAAAGCTTTGGCTATAAATATCCTGAAAAGTAGTTTATTTAAGGAAATTGCAAGTAACTGCTTAATTTTGCAAGAGAATAGCTATTAAAACACCTAATGGTTTTCTTTCCCTACCAGGTAGATTTCTTAACCTGGCCTCTTGATTGCCTTGAGGGTTAGACCAATCCAGTCAATTACTTCATTTCACAAAACAGAAATTATGACCTAGTGGCACCCATGGTTATCTTAAAATTAACACTTTCTGCAAGGTCTTGGATCACTTTGAATTGTGAGAATAATGCTGGGCCTGGCACCAGAAATATCTAAGGCATTCAAATCTTGACTCAGTGGGATGGTGCTTTCTTTGAGTGAAATTATCATTCATATAACCCAACTCTGAATATATCTGAATTTACATATTGGCCACATAATTTAAATACAAAAATTTCCTCTCTTAAGAAAAAAAGCCCTGTCTGGGTAGCTCAGTTAGTTGTCCCCATGTGCTGGGGTTGCAGTTTAGATCTCCGGTCGGGGTGCAAGTTTTTGGTCCATTATGTTGGAGGCTTCTCTGAAAGCAAGATTCAAATTGTTCCTTTGTTTTGAGGCTCTAGAACAGCACCATCCAATAGAAATATAATGTAAGCCACATAGGTAATATTATATTTTCTAGTATTATATTTTAAAAAGCTAACAGAAATAGGTGAAATTAATATTATATATAATGTGATATTTCTAAATGTTATTTCAATATTCAATCAATATAAAAAAATTTTTAAAAATGAGATATTTAATATTCTTTTTATTTTTTGGTACTAAGTCCTTGAAATCCTGTAGTATTTTACACAAACAGCTAATCTTAATTCTGACTAGCTACATTTCAGGTGCTCAATATTGGATACCACCACCCTTGAGGCACACACTGTATAATGACATTTGGAATGGATGCCAGATAAGACTTTTGCTTTTGTGAAATAAGAGTACGATGAAGATGAAGGCAGTGGTCGGAAAGGAGAAGAGGCCTGCTATCCATGCCCTCATACAGCTGTAAAATGTATCTTTTACCCCAGGGCCTCAATGCACAGCTGTATAAAGTGGCCCTAATGTACCCTGAGAGACAGAGCCAACTCAGTGTGAAGACCATTAATTTTAAGGTGGATTCTGGCTGCCAAGATCTTTGGCAATGATGCAATTACAATGAAATTATACATTCTTGTCTTCTGAAGAAGACCTAGTCAATTATCCTTGTAAAATTCTGGACCAAGCGAAAAGAAAAAATCATGACACAAAAGATTAGCAGAAGACCCAGAAAGCCCTTGTTACTCTGTCAGCAATATATTGATATGATTTTTGAAGAGAAGATTGACAACCTTATCACAAGGAGAGAGCTTTTGGTAATAGAAAGGTGATGCTTTCCCCTCTGACTCTGATGGGAGATAACATGGGATTTCATAAAAATTATCAACCTAACATCAGATGACTTAGGGAGGTGAAGTTTTCCAATATTATGGTACAGACTTGACAAAGAATCTCTGTTTTACTTTTATTTTCTTAGGAAACGTCTATAATTTGTCCTCTATCTCTAAGTTTCAGGGTGCAGTGAGTAGTGGGATTCCTTTCCAAAATAACCCAGATACTTGTCCTAAAAGGCAAGTTTTTAAAAAGTACTTTTTGATACTGTCGTAGTCCGCCTGAGCATCCCTGACAAAATTCTATAAACTGGATGCTTAAAACAACATAAATTTATTTCTCACATTTCTGGGGCTGGGAAGTCCAGCTGACTTGGGTTTCTGGTGAGAGCTTTCTTCCTGGCTTACAATTGGTTGCCTTCTATGCCCTCAGGATGGTGGAAAGTGAGTATCTGGTGCCTTTCAGCGATTCTCAAACTGTGGGTCGCGAACAATGAAAATGCATCCTGCATATCAGATATTTACATTACGATTCATAACAGTAGCAAAATTACAGTTATGAAGTAGCAATGAAAATAATTTTATGGTTGGGGGTCACCACAACATGAGGAACTGTATTAAAGGGTCGCTGCATTAGGAAGGTTGAGAACCACATAAGGACACCAGTCCTATCAGATTAGGGCCCCACCCTTACTACCTCATTTAATCTTTATCACCTCCTCACAGGTCCTATCTCCAGATGTCTTAGTTCAGGCTACTAGAACAAAGTACCACAGACTGGGTGGCTTAAACAACAAAAATTTATTGTTTTCCAATTCTGGAGGCTGGAAGTCTTAGGTTAGGGTGCCAATATGGTCAAGTTCTGGTAAGGTTCTCTTCTGGTTTGCAGACTCCCACTTTCTTGTATCTTCACCTGGTGCAAAGTGGAGAGGGGAAGCAAGCTTTCTCCTGACTCTTATAAGGGCACTAATCTCATTCATGGGGCTCCACCCTCTTTACCTCATCTATATATATATAAAAGGCTAAATGACCAACCGTATGTTGTTCCGACCATCTGGTACATATGATTCGCACTGGCAATTTAAAAATAAACGTTGACTCACGCATTCCGATACATATAAAGCTCTTGCTGGTACCAATCTAAACAGAGTAGGAATATTCCTACCTGAAGCCGTTTTCGGACATGGTCAGTTATATGTTGCTTTCTCTAAGTTCGAAGAGCGTGTGACATTAAAGTTAAAGTTGGAAATACTTCATCACAAGGGAATTAGTCAAGCACTCTGAAAGTGTTTTTACTCTTAATGTGGTATTAAGGGAGATATTAGAATAAGTTTGATCAATTTATCAGTCATTGTTTTTATCAATGTTGTTTTTATGTTTTTGTTTTATATGTTTTTATATCATGTCTTTGTTATTGCATGTTATTATTTATTAATCAATTTATATATTATTGTCATATACATTTTACTAATTTTCTTTCATCTCTGAAACTTCCATTATAGAGAAAGGGCGAACAGCAATATTAAAATATTTCTAAATATAAAATATTTCTAAATATAATTAATTTACTTTCAATGTGCATGAATCTGTGCACTGGGCTACTAGTTTAATACTAATTACTCCCCAAAGGCCTTACCTCCTAATACCATTCCACTAGGGAGTAGGATTTCAACATATAAATTGGGGGAGAGGACACATTCGTTCCACACACTGAATATAATTGCATTAGGGGTTAGGGCTTTAACATATGAATTTGGGGGGGGGGATACAATTCAGTTCAGAGCAAATATTAAAGTACTTAAGAGTACGGAATTCCATTTCAGATGCTCTCTAAATAAATTAAGGTTATCATCTGCTTGGATGATTTCCTTAGGATGAAATTCCACTTAGCTGAAGCCAATGACTCGTTTAGTATTTTCCAGCATTCCAAGGATTTGTATAACATCATTCTCTGACATCTCCTAGTGTATGAAATAGTTTCATTTTCATGATAAAATAAATTTCATTATGACCCATACTTCTCCCAAGAAAAACTCGTGGGGACAGTTTTGGGGGTTTCCAGGTAAATTAATATTACTGCAAGATACTTTTTCAAATTAACCATTTCTCCTATTTTTTTCTCTACAAAATTATTTCTTCTTGTCGCAGAACTGCAAGGACAGAGTAGGTCTTCCCACCCATCCTGTTTAAAAATAATGAGCATTCCACAGTCAAGAGGAAAAGAGGGTCTTTTAAATAAATATCTGGGTATTTCTAGAATAGTTAATTTCTATGTGAAACTAGCAATACTTCCTTCCAAGCTTGAGTGCAGTACATGAATGAACCTGTGAAACTAGAATAAACTAAAAAAAGTACCTTTCCTGTAAATATCTTAAAATTGGTGTACACTTGAAATCTATTTTTTATTGCTGTGAGAGTGGGAAATTCCATAAAATAAAAATTTAGAGTGTTTTGACTTTGTTGTAAAATGTGATATTTATGGTACTGAAAATGGAGATATGCATTCAACTTGTACTAAGTTCCTTATACAGAATTAAAAATCAATCAAACAAACAAAACAAACACTCTAATGGTTCAACAGTGTTCTTCATGAAGTTATTGTAAGGTTGGAGTTCAAAGAAGAGGAACTCAGTCTTTCATGCTTTATCTATTCTAGGCAAGACCACTGAAGTAGCTAGTAACTTGAAATGATTCAAAATGTAAGTTACCAAGTCTAAGGACTTACAAATTATAATATCACCATATAACTTTTAGTTATCTAATTTAGGAATGTTTGATTCTAAGGGGAAACTAGAAACGAAATGGAATTATCTCTAGTAATGCTATTATATAGGCGTTTACTTAAGCTTATAGATATTTTGTTATTACTTATTCATCCTGACATAATAGGCTAATTGTTGTAATTATATTACAGTTCATGGGCTGTGGGGAAGCATGGGACTTGGTTGGAAAGTCTGTAAGGAGGATTCTCTGAAAGGTCGGGGGCCTCTGGGGGGAACTTGCCGAAGGCGGCAGCCCCTGCCTTGACTTTTCCAAACAAGTCTGACCCCCTGGGTATTTTACTAGAATCTTTATGTTTAGACTTCAAAACATCCTTGCTTAAAGGACGCATGTGTTTTCTCAAGGATGCTTACCCTGCTGATAGCATCTAATAGTTAATTTTAGTTCAAGCTGTTGTTACAATGAAAGCCAAAGGAGGCAGGCGAACAGGGCTACTTGATGGGGATAGCCAAGTAGTCCCTCAGTCCTCTCTTTCATAGAAATGTGCGTCAGAGTAATCATTCATCCATCGTTCAGGGTCTGCTGGTCAGCCCCAGCAATGGGCTTCTCACAATTTCTTCTAAGAAACTCTAATTTAGTTTTTGACTTATTTAGTTCAATATACTTGCTAATAATTTATTTCTGTAATGTTAATAAAAAATTTTAGCATATCCCAATATACATACATATTAAAACACACACATGTACCTGTGTGTTAATGTATTATGTATGCTATCAAACATATACACAATGGACATTTTTAAAAGATTAAAGATGGAATAATTAGCATTTAAATTTAAAATTTTCCACTGAAGTTCAAAATAAGAACAGTACAACCAGATATTCATTATTGTGGAAAGTCTCGGTTTAACACTGTAACATGGCCATTTGAGTTTGATTTTTTTTTCCTTATAGGCTTTATTTTTCTTTAATAGTTTTAGATTTACAGAAAAATGGAGGAGATAGTACAGAGTTCCTATATACCTTGCACTTAGTTTCCCCCATTATTAATGTCTTATATTAATACTAGAGGCCCGATGCACGAAAATTCGTGCAAGAGTAGGGCTTCTTCCCCCGGCTGCTGGCTGCCGGCACCGGCTTCCCTCCAGCACCCAGGATCCGGGCTGGCTTCCCCCGGGCTACCCGCAGGCACCTGGGACCCGGCTGGCTTCCCTCCAGCCCCAGCTTCGTCAGGAAGGACGTCCGGAATGACGTCTGGTCTATATAGCATATTACCCTTTTATTATTATAGATGGTACATTTTTTACACTTAATAGCCAATATTGAGTCATTATTATTAACTAAAGTCAGTGGTTTATTCAGACTTCCTTTAACCTTATGTCTTTTTTGGTTCCAGGATCCCAACCAGGACATCATAGTGAGTCCCCAAAGCCATCTTGTGTTAACTTCCCAGTTTCATATCATTCATGATAGGAAAAGACAACCAATCAAACAATTAAGCTTTTCTAAAAATGTTGTTTCTAGAATATATTAGTCCAGCCGGCCTGGCTCAGTGGTTGAGCATTGACCTATGAAGCAGGAGGTCACGGTTTGATTCCTGGTTAGGGCTTATGCCCAGGTTACGGGCTCGATCCCCAGTGAGGGGCAGGCAGAAGGCAGCCGATCAATGATTCGTCTCATCATTGATGTTTCTATATCTCTCTCCCTCTTCCCTCCTCTCTAAAGTCAATAAAAAAATTTATTTTTTAAAAGTTAATTTAAAAAAGTAGAATATCTTAGTGGGCCCATATAAATAAATTCAATCCGATAGCACTTTATAATTCTTGATCTTGATCCCTTTGTTATATTCCTAGAGATGCTATAGCAAAGTACCACTAACTGAGTGGCTTAAAACAACAGAAATTTATTCTCTCCCAGTCTCGAGGCTAGATATCTGAAATCAAGTTGTCACCAGGGCTATGCTTCTTCTAAAGGCTCTTTGGAATAAACTTTCCTTGCCTTTCCCTAGTTCAGGGGTGGGCAACCTTTTTGTGAGTGCGTGCCAAAACCAGCAAAATCTTTGACTCAAAATTCTACTGCGTGCCAACCCTAATTTTTTGAGTACATGTTATGCCTACTTGATATCTCTTAAGGTGTATGTATGTGAAGAACCTTGAAGAAATAATAAAATTCACTCGAGCGACAAAAACACAGTATATGATGATGAAAAATACATTTATTTATTTATTTTTACATGTACACTGATAGTCCGACAGAAAACTTTATGACTCCGTTTGATATTATCAGTGGGACTTTTGCTGCTGCATCACTGATGACAGAGATTTTACATCAGGTTTATATTTCGTGACCTTCAGAGATATGCACGAGCTACTACTTTCATCCGTCAGGCTACTCCTATTACGAGACTTAACAAAATTCATCACTGAGAACAAAGATTCACAAGCGTATGTGGATGAAACCAAAACACTGGTCGGATCTAGGAAGGCAGGGAGAGTTAAGGCAGAGGCATAGAAATTGCTCTTCCCCTCTCTCGTCAATCCATGTCTATGGTCTTTAAGATAACTTGTTATGTAAAATTATTTATTTATCTAAGATGCACCTACACTGAATTTATCTGAAAAATAAAAAAGTCGATATTAAGAAAAAAATTGTAAATGGAAGATTATAAGAGAGGATTTCGCGTGCCAGCAAAAGTTACTGGCATGCCATGTTTGGCACGCGTGCCAGGGGTTGCCCACCCCTGATCTAGAGGTGGATGAAACCAAAACACTGGTCGGATCTAGGAAGGCAGGGAGAGTTAAGGCAGAGGCATAGAAATTGCTCTTCCCCTCTCTCGTCAATCCATGTCTATGGTCTTTAAGATAACTTGTTATGTAAAATTATTTATTTATCTAAGATGCACCTACACTGAATTTATCTGAAAAATAAAAAAGTCGATATTAAGAAAAAAATTGTAAATGGAAGATTATAAGAGAGGGTTTTGCGTGCCAGCAAAAGTTACGGGCGTGCCATGTTTGGCACGCGTGCCAGGGGTTGCCCACCCCTGCCCTAGCTCCTACTGGCTCCCAGCAGTTCTTGGCTTATGGCTACTTCACTGCAATCTCTGCTTCCATCTTCACACGTCCTTCTTCCTCTGTGTCTATATATCTCTTCATCCTCTCATCATATAAGGACAGCAGTCTTTAGATTTAGGGCCCAGTCTAATCCAGCATTACGTCATCTTAATGGATTAAATCTGCAAAGACCCTATTTCCAAATAAAGTGACATTGAGGTTCCAGATGGACATGAATTTTGGGCGACAATATTCCACCCAATATAATCCTATACTTTTACTATCCATAAGATATATAATTCATATATTCTTTTACTTGCTGTGATTTTTGAGCATGTGTATTTATTACTATTTAAAAGGGGAAAACTTTGCCTTAAAATGCAAATATTCTTTCCATCCAGTTTCTCCCTTTGGTGCACACTACCATGTAGTCTCTCTATGCTGATCTCCCAGTCTTGCCTGTTTCCAATCTTTACTCTAACTGCAAACAAAGTGATCTTCCAAAATAATCCTTCCTGTCTTTCAAAAAGGATCAAGCACAGGCTCCCTGGTTAGCCTTAGGTGGCTTTTCATGATCTGGTTTTCAGCATCCTTCTTCCAGTTTCATCCATATATATAAAACCCTAATATGCAAATAGATCAAACAGTGGAACAACTGAACCACGGGTCGCTATGATATGCACTGACCACCAGGGGACATGTGTAGAACATGGTGGGCGTCAGCTGCAGTGGGATGGTGGAGCAGGTGAGCGGGGGCACCAGACCAAGGCAGGGCTCCAGTTGCTGTCATCAGGGCGAGCCTCTGGTGGTTACTGAAAATTCTTTGCTCCCGTGCGCCGCAGCCCTGCCTGGCACTCACACCTGCTGCTGGCACCTGTCCCAATTGCTCGGTGCCATCAGTGGGTGCGAACAGCGACTGCCGGCCCTGATCGTCCCTGAGGGCTTTTCCGCCTCCCCCTGCTCCTGAGGGGCCATCAAGGCAGCAGCCGCAGCTTGCACCCGCTGACAGCGCTGGCCCCAATCGCTCCGGGAGCAGGGGCGGCGGGAGCAGGGCTGCTGGCAGACAGGGACTAGGGGCCACAGCAGGAGGGACTAGGTGGGGGCACGGAGGATGGGTTGAGACCCGTCCCTGTGCCCAGCGCAGCCTCCCGGCCCACAATTCCTTTCAAGGTGCACAAATTCGTGCACTGGGCCCCTAGTCTCAATAAAATCCCCTGCTACCTACCTGTTTTGCCCCAGAATACTTGCAGGTTTCTCAATTGCCATGCCATTTCCTCCTTCTGCATCCTGGTTCTGCACCGTTTGCTTGATAATGCCCCTTGCATCTATGACTGCTGCTCATGTTTAGAGGCTATCTCTAATCTATAGAGACGGAAAGGAAAGTAGTAGTGGTTGTTGTCTGAGGTTATGGTGGCGAGAATGAAGACTGATCAGGAACAGGCACGAGAGATATTTTTGGAGTGATGGAAAGAGTCTAAAATTAGGTGGTGGTGATGGTTGTACATCTCTGCATGTTTATTAAAACTCGTTGCATTGCACATTTATAATGAGTGAACTTTATGGTGTTTAAACAATAATGAAGGTGTTTTTAAAAAAGAACTGGGTAAAAAGTAGTTGTCTACTCTTTTGGATTGTAGTCAACATATACAAATAACATAGTTAACTTAAGAATTAAAAAAAAAAAATCATCCAGTGCATTCAAAAGGATCCTCAAGTCTAAAGGAAAAAAGGCACCCATCAGATGTTAAAATATACTGAACAGCAAGAGAGTGACAAAACCACGGGGAAAAAGTCAGATTCAACTGCTGCTTTGCTAGCATGGGAGATCTTAAAACTGCAGGCATTTCTCTAGCTGATCTTTTAAGTCCTGTTAATATTTTCCTTTGCTCTTGTTCCTCTAAACTCAATTTTTCTACTTGAAAGAATACAATCCAAGAACACACGGGGCCGCGCTCGCCCCACTGCCCAGTAGAACAGGTTCGCCCTTCGCGCCCTCAGGCAGGGGAGGGACCGGAACGCCAAGCCCGCGGA